CAAATTCTTGCCTATCCTCATCCATATTATATATAAGGTAAGCCATCCATTTGATTCAGATATCATTCACATTCTTATAGAATATAATTTTAAATCGTTAACGGTTAAAAAAATAATCACGATCGTCATCACAGATCACGATTTATTGTAATATTAAAATAATAATATCGCTATATTTTGAAATCATTACATAATCATTATATAACATGATGACGTTATTTAAAACTATGCTAAAAATACAGGCATTTTCCTTTACTTTTTGAGAATTTCCATTTCTTTCTTTGCAAATCACAAGCTTTCCAGGAATTCTAGGATCACCATGCAGATGACATCATTAAGAGAACACAAAACAGAGAAAACAAGATCAAGAAAAACAAGAAGAGCATGGAAGTTGAACCTTACTATCATTTGGCGGGCTATCAAGAAGGCAGTAAATTGCAACATCAAGAAACGTCTTCGTCTACATCTTCATTCAAGCTGTGAAAAAGCATTTGGCAGCTTTCCACTAACCAAATCAATCAGGAGTTAGTTGTAAAGCCACAACAAGATGCAAAATCAAAGAAAAAGGCCAGACATCCCAACAAAATACTAGCAACCCTCCTCCATGTGCCATATACAGCTTTGGATTTTGTAGACCGAGGAGATCACATGACCCCTCGCTACACTATCTCCAAAGCAGAATATATCAACAATGTGGAAAGAAATCCATGATTCACGCAATTGGGAGAACCTTCTTGACCCTCTTCACCCGTCTTCGACGAGAAATTAATTCTCAAAGACGGAGAATTTGTTGAAGCCACTTATTATGCCTTCTACTTAATTTGATCCTTTATTTGAGTATTGTGGGAGCTTTAGGTATAACCATCATGAAATTTTCGAAACACTAGGCCTCAGCAAGCATGGTTACAAGGTGACAAAGTACGTCTATGCCTTGTCCCATGTAGACGTCGTACGAATGGTTGTGGATGGAGATGTTGGAACTGGTGCGGAACTGCTGGTTCCAATGGAGGAATAAGTCGAACATCCCATATCGTTGGACCCATAAAGAATGCCCGAAGATGGAGAATCATGATCGATGTTGGATGGAGAACCATATCTGCTGCAGGGATGCACGTCCACGACTACCTAATCGTGATCCCGAGGGGGTGTGGGAGGTCGACATGAATCACCTGTCATAGTTTAATAATATCACTTAAAATAATTAAACAAAATACAATAAATATATTATCAATTGTGAGCATAAGAAAAAACAGTTTCAAAAGCGACTCTAGAAAATTAAATATTTTCTAATTACTTGATACGCAACCTATTTAAAACATAATACAATCAAAATACACAACCAACATTTTGAAAATATATAAAAGTCAATATGATATATTGTAATAAATAAAACAACAAAAGAATACATCATTTCTTATTAATACAACTAATAAAATTAATATTTATTATTATAAACCTAATTAATCAATTTATAACTAATTTATATTAAACCTAATTGAAAATAGCCTAACTATATTAACACTAATTTATGAGGATTAACTATTTTAATTAACATAAAAATCCTAAAAATTAATATAATTATTATAAACCTAATTTAAATAAACCTAATTAATCAACTAACAACTAATTGAAATTAAACAAATTAACCCTATTTTAACCCAAATTAAAATCCAATTTAACTTATAAAAATTTACCTTAATTAAATTAACCTCATTAATCAACTCATAACTAATTTATATTAAACCTAATTGAAAATAACCTAATGATATTAACACTAATTTACGAGGATTAATTATTAATTAACATTAAAATCCTAAAAATTAACATAACTTAAATAAACCTAATTAATCAAATAACAACTAATTGAAATTAAGCATAAGTAACCCTATATTTAACCTAATTAACTCTAATTTAATCTTAACTAACCCTAATTTAATCTTAACTAACCCAAATTTAAATTCAATTTAACTTAAAAAATTCACCCTAATTAATCAACTCATAACTAGTTTATATTAAACCTAATTGAAAATAACCTAACTATATTAACACTAATTTATGAGGATTAATTAATTTAATTAACATAAAAATCCTAAAAATTAACATAACTATTGTAAACCTAATTTAAATAAACCTAATTAAGCAACTAACAACTAATTGAAATTAAGCATAAGTGACCCTATATTTAACCTAATTAACCCTTATTTAATCTTAATTAACCCAAATTTAAATTCAATTTAACTTAAAAAAATTCACCCTAATTAAATTAACCTAATTAATCAACTCATAACTAATTTATATTAAACCTAATTGAAGATAACCTAACTATATTAACACTAATTTAAGAGGATTAATTATTTTAATTAACATAAAAATCCTAAAAATTAGCATAATTATTATAAACCTAATTTAAATAAATCTAATTAATCAACTAACAACTAATTAAAATTAATCATAATTAACCCTATATTTAACCTCATTAACCCAAATTTAAATTCAATTTAATTTAAAAAAATTCACCCTAATTAAATTAACCTAAGTAATCAAATCATAACTAATTTATATTTAAAAAAAAAGTAGAGAGATTACTAACAATGGGGGAGGAAAACCAACAAATTAAATGGGAGAAATACTTAATTGGTTTTTTGGAGAGAAGAGTGTTGCGACGGTTGGAGGAGGTCGGGAGGAAATTGCATCACCTTGGGTGGTCGAATCGAGTTTGGGCACTCGTTGGTTGCAAGAGGAGGAAGGGAGGAGAGGGAAAGAGAGAAGAAAAATGGAAAAGAAGAGAGGTTCTGTCTAATTTAGCTACGGATACGATTCTATCACTAATCCCTCGCTATTTGGTTAGGAAAGAAAGTGTCCGTCGCTAATTATTTGATGGAGCGGTCGTTTCATTTTCTGTTGTTTTTAGAAAAAAGTAAAATTGTAAGTTAGCAAAGGAAAATAAAATTCTCTCACAATTTCGTATCTATTCAACGATAGATTTTATTTTCCATCGCTATTCCTCTCGTTTTATTTTTGGAATTTCGTAAATTAGGTATAGGTACACATGAGCGACAAAAAATAAATTTCGTCTCTAATCCTTCGATGATTAGTGACGGAAAGCAAAGTCTCGTTGCTAATTCTATGTTTTATTTTCTCAATAATTTTCATTTTAATCAAATTGTGTTTTAGCGATGAAATTTAGATTCACTCGCTAATTTTTGTTTCTAAACCGTCACCATTATGTCGCTAATTTCGTAAGGTTGCAAATTAGAGACCAAAATTAATCCAACGCCAAAATTCTGTCCCTATTTCGTCTCAAATCCGTATCCAAAAAACTTTATCGCTATTGCATTACAAATCCGTCACAAATTAGAGACGAAATATGTTCCGTCACTAATTTTCGTCGTTAAATAGCATATTTCTTATAGCTAGTGTCATGTGTGGCTTGAAATTAGTTAACAAGACAAAAAAAAAAAAAAATTGATTTCATACTTAAAAAAAAAAAAAAAAGGAAAGAAAGAAAAAGAAATTAAAGGTTTAAAACCTTTTTTCCGTTCACCAAAATTTCAAAATACTTTCTAACCCATTAGCCATTAAATGATACTATAATAACATAACTTTATATGCATGCATTCTGAATATCTGAATACAAAATCATGCATAAGTTTCAGAAGGTCTACGTGAAGTCCTTTCTTGTCAAGTCAGGACATTAAGTTCTGAAAGTTTGATACTTAATCTTGTTGCTGTAATGAAGTGATTTTACAACTCAATTATGATTCATGAAAACTAATTGTTTGTCTCAAGCAATTGTATTGCTTCACAGGTTGCTTGACTGGAATTTCTGACGAAAAACAACCTTGACTCACAAATCGTAACAGAATTTCCGAGGAAATGCAAAGCCCCGTTAATTAATTTACTCATTTCTCTTTTCTTTTCTGGGAAAGTATTAGGCTCACCAAATGCCCTTTTCCATATGAATTCATGGAAGGATTCCGTACTCATCTACATTTTCTCAATCTCAATAAACATATAAACAGACAAATATGATGCCTTGCAAGCCATCGCAGTCACCTAATTATTCCCTTTGACTGGTCCATGCAACCGTGGGGATGGCCATAGCTTGGTCTAGCTTTGATTTTTCAATGCTGAATGCTATTATATACCAAGTCCAGGAGATAGACTCAAACGTCAAGGAAAAGAAACAATAAACTATAGCAGACAGTTGGACTCGTTTCAAGATACAGAAAAGAACAAGAAGACTTCTGCTGCCCCTTACGTACATAGGATAGGATTGGAAGTTATTCAATTGCAATAGCCTCCTGAATTTCGTGGAAATTACATGAGTTAACAGAAACTTCAGAATTATAACAGAAACCACTTTTACACGTAAGATAATGAAAGACAGTCCCCTTTTAACGTTCAAGATTATATGGGAACCCATGATGAGAATTGGAAAGGAGGTTGCAACTATGGAGTATATATGAAAATTCTATACGAGCAAGAAAAATACATTAGAGTTGTGCATCATCTTAAAACATCCATTTCTCATCTTTTTTTTTATCAAACAAAATCCTATATATATATATATTGTGTACATGTGAAGCAAGAAGAACGCAAAACTTGGTACAAGATCAAATCTTAACGTTACTATACGCCAAGAACTCTTGAAACTTTTGGGAACGAGTATGATTTCGATTTCGCAACACCTAGAGAGGTTACTGTAATTTGAACATAATAAAAAAATTGGGGGATCAACTATACTGATTGTTTTGTCCTATTCTAAGGATATGAACTTCCCAGAAGCAGGTATAAGCCGTCGCAATGACGTGCTTGGAATTTAAACTCATTGACCAAATTTCTTGCCTATGCTCTTCGATAGTTTATACAAGACTGTCCATCAGATTCAGATATCATTCACACCCATACAGAGTACAAACACTTTCGCTTTACTTTTTGAGAAATATTTCCATCTCTTTCTTTCAAATCACAAGCATTCCATAAATTCTAGGATCACCATGGAGAAGTCCCCATTAAGACAAGTCACAACAGAGAAAACAAAGTCAAGAAGAGCATGGAAGTTGAAGCTTAATATCACTTGGCAGGCTATCAAGAAGGCAGTAAGTTGCAACATCAAGAAACGTCTGCGTCTGCGTCTTCATTTAAGCTGTGCAAAGGGCATGAGACAGCTTTCCACTAACCAAACCCATCAGGAGTTAGTTGTAAAGCCACACCAAGATGCAAAATCAAAGAAAAAGGCCAGACATCCCAACAAAACACTAGCATCCCTCCTCCACGTGCCATATACAGCTTTGGATTTTGTAGACAGAGGGGATCACATGACTCCTACGCTATCACCAAAGCAGAATATATCAACAATGTGGAAAGAAATCCATGGTTCATACAATTGGGAGAACCTTCTTGACCCTCTCCACCCCTCTCTTCGACGAGAAATTGTCAAATACGGAGAATTTGTTGAAGCCACTTATGATGCCTTCGACTTTGATCCTTTATCAGAGTATTGTGGAAGCTGTAGGTATAACCGACATAAAAATTTTGAAACATTAGGCCTCACCAAGCATGGTTATAAGGTGACAAAGTACATCTATGCCTTGTCCCATGTAGATGTGCCTGAATGGTTAAAGAGATCCCATACCATGTGGAGCAAAGATTCGAATTGGATGGGTTATGTTGCTGTAAGCAAAAAAGAAGAATCACAGAGAATCGGCCGGAGAGACGTAATGGTCGCATGGCGGGGCACTGTGTCACCATCAGAGTGGTTCAAAGACCTCACGACAAGTCTAGAACATATTGACAACACAAATGCTAAAGTTCAAGAAGGGTTCCTCAGCGTTTACAAAACCAAGGATGAGTCGACCAGGTATAACAAGCTAAGTGCCTCTGAGCAAGTTATGCAAGAAGTGGTAAGACTGGTGAATTTTTATAGAGGGAAGGGTGAAAAGGTCAGCTTGACAGTTACAGGCCATAGCTTAGGAGGCGCATTGGCTCTCCTCAACGCTTATGAGGCTGCAACTGTCATTCCTGGTCTATTTGTTAGCGTCATTTCTTTTGGCGCACCAAGGGTTGGAAACATCGCTTTCAAGGAGAAGCTCAACGAATTAGGAGTCAAGACCCTACGCGTTGTTGTCAAGCAGGATATAGTCCCAAAACTGCCTGGCTTGTTGAACAAAATGCTTAACAAGTTTCATGGATTAACCGGAAAAATGAATTGGGTTTATAAGCACGTAGGAACTCAATTGAAGCTTGATGCCTTTATGTCGCCTTACTTGAAGCATGAATCCGACTTGTCAGGGTCTCATAATCTGGAGCTATATCTTCACCTGATAGATGGATTTTTGAGCAAGAAAAACAAGTATAGATGGAACGCTAGGAGAGATCTGGCATTGGTGAACAAGAGTAGTGACATGCTGATAGAAGAGCTAAAAATACCAGAGTTCTGGTACCATTTTCCATACAAGGGACTCATGTTGAACAAATATGGTAGATGGGTTAAACCTGGAAGACAGCCTGAAGACATCCCTTCTCCACTTAATGTGTACTGAAATTACGAAACACGATATTGTGCAATTTTTTTTTTAAAAAAATTTGTTTTCGCTCAAAAATACAGGTCCAAGTCTTCTTTTAGTACTAAGGCTTCAATTTTGATGATTTTTTCACTTGTCTTCAAGAAGTTGTAACTGATTAATTTGAAAATACCGTAATGTCTATATATATATATATATATTATATAAAAAAAAAAAAAAACTACCCACATAATAATATCTTTTAATGAAGCTTCTCTTTGCCTTCGTGAATCCCGAAGTGAACAAATTAGTCCATCGACGTTACAATGATATTATATTAATTCTTTGTCATGAAAGGTAATAAGCCCAATTCTCCTTCTTTCTAATAATAACAAACAACCACTAAAGTTTATTGGCTTATCAAAAAAAAGAAAAAAATGTCGCGGCATTAAATTTTGAAAGTTGAGTACTTAATTTGTCTTGTTTCTGTAATGAAGTGACTGTAGAACTTCTCAGACCTTCTTCTTAAGCAATATTGCTTCACAAGTTGCTTGACAGGAATTTGTTAACTTCACAAGATAGTTCTGACTTTTGAGACAACATTCTCTGTTACCTAAACTCCAGTTAACGTCAATTCATTTTACAAGTGTCAAGTAATTGGAAATCATCAAAATTTTCCCTGTTATTAAAAATTCTATCCTCCTTCGGCTGCTATTTACTGAGTCATCACTTATCTATAGGTCGTTCCGGAGGAAAAATATATTATCAGAAAGCCGAAAACTTCTTTCCATGAGCATTAAAGATGCAGTTCACATTCTACTAGTGAGAAGGATAGAATTTTCCAGGAAATGCAAAACCTTGTTAATTAATTCCTCATTGTTCATTTCTTGGAAAGCATTAGACTCACCTTATACCTTTTTTATTATTATTGTCATGATACTATTTTTTATCCCTCAAAAACAAAAACCAAATCACGAAAAAGAAAAATATATATATATCATAGGGCGTAGTGCTTTGGGGCCTCACAGCCAGATCCAGATGCGCCGGCAGCCAGTCAATCCAGAACTACTTTGAAAACAAAAATATAAAAGGAAAACACTAACAGCAACCTTGTATGAATGTGCTATCTATCCAGACTCAAAGAAGGAGGCTGATACGTAGACGAAGACAACCCTAGCAGTGAAAATAATAATAATAATAATAAATAAATAAATAGAAAAGAAACTGACAGAAACAGAGAGAAGCATTCACACGCGCAAACCGGACAAAAAATCAAACCCTTTTTCTTATCACCGTCGTTCAGCGCCGTTCACCACTGCAGCATCACCAAGTCACATGCTCCCTCCCATCAGGATCATCCAGCCCAAACCTTTCCAACGCCACCAGACCCACCCAATTCCTAAGCCGGAAGACTACCCACGAGCGCGAGCATATAAAAAGACGTCATTGCCACGCTCCGTCCACCCGCTCAACTGCAGCCTTTTTGTCCTTTCTGTTCAGTTCAGTCCCTGGTCTCATTCAAACTTACGTTTCAATTCTTGAATGACTAATTGTGGTAATTAAGCCCCCGATTCATTGATTTTTAATTTTATACCCACTTATAATTTTGTGTGTTGTACGGATCGACTTCGTGGTTTATTTTTTCCTTATTTTGGTTTATTTTGGATTTAATTAACATAAAACTTGGGTGATTTGCTATTTTTAAATTAAGTAAATTAACTTAATCGAATACAATGAAATATAAAATCTTTGTTTTCATTTAACATGTCAAAAAGGGTGCAACCTCAATTTTTGTGACCTTATTGTGCATCAAATATAATATGTTGAGTTTGATTTGGAATATATAACATTTAGGATTTATAATTTTTATTTTTATTTTTATTCTATTAATAGTTAAAGGTTAAGGCTATTGTTAGTAAATAATAAATTTAGACTAGTTATTTATTAGTTGGATTATTGAATTACGTTACAGGCTAAATTAAATATATTTATTTCAATTTGATAACATATATTATATTGTCAATTAATTAAAATATTAAATTAAATATAAAAGATAAATTTCATCTAATTTTATAATTCTTAATCGAAATTGTGCGTATGTTTTTTTTCTTTGCTTATGTTTTAAATAAATATTATAGTTAAAAAAATATGATTTGTTCTTTTTTGTGCATTTATTTTTAAATAAAAATCCGTAATAAACTAAATTTAGTATAATTTTTTTAAAAAAATGTCTTAATATTTTTTTCATAACATTCCCTCAAAAAAAATAAATCAACAATTAATATAAAAATTTATATGAAAATTAACAAATGAATCTTTTTTTACCGATGAGAAGAATATATATATATATATATATATATATATATATATATATATATATATATATATTTATTTATTTATTTATTTAAAAAATAATGAATGATATTAGTATAAAAAATTTATATTTGAATTATTAGGCAATTCTTCTAAAACATTATTTTAATGATTTTATTTGAAATAAATTAATTTTAAAATATTAAAAAATAAAGTAAATGGTTGGTGTTATGTACGGATGCATAGTTAATTCCCAATAAAATCAATAACTCTAATATTATTATTTTTATACATCATAACCATACTCGGATCAAAATGTGTAGCATAAATCGAAAAATATTTTAAAAACATTAAGCTGTAAAAAATAGATTGAAGTTAATTAAGGGCGATTAGAAAACTACAAAATGATTTTGATAAAATTTAATTATATAAAAAATAAGAAAACAAAGCATTTGAATTCTATTTTTAAAATTTGATCATATAAGAATTAAGCAACTAAAAACATATAGTCTTGTATGTTCGATTACATATAGTCTTGTATGTTCGATTTGCTTATAACTTGTAACTTGTATCATTACGTAACTATTTGTCTTTACGTCGGTCTAGATGTCTAGGTAGTTTTAGCATTTAAGATCAATTTTATTCTAATTACAAAGATTTTTCTTATTATTTCTATTTTATTTATTTTTCCATTGTCATTAATTTCAACCGATTGCATTTTTAGTCCTAAATTTGATGTTGGATATTGGATTTATTTTCATTATTTTTAAGTGACATGACTGGTTGATATACATTCAAAGCTCATATTCTTATTATTTTGGATTTTTTTTCTTGTCAATGAGTTTCGAACTTGTGATTTTTATTTTTATAATTTGGTTTTTGGATGTAAGATCTAAATTTATTTTAATCTGATTTTATTTTTTATTTGTTTGGGTTTAGGTTTTAATTTACAATTAGGTTTCAAGTTTTAACTTTCATCTTTTCAACTTGACTCTATTGGCCTAAGAGATTGAGCATTGTTTCTTGAATCTTTTTTTTTTAATATATAACTTTTTAGAAACGATCTAATAATCAATTCATCATTTCAGATAGATATATAGATGTAAAATGAACTTATATAAATGAATTTTTATATATTAAAAATACGATGTAATCTCATGATGAGAGCATATTTTTAATTGTTTAGCTAATTTTCTTAACTAGAATTTTAAGAACAGTGTAAATTTTTTCTTAATTTTCACTTTCTAAAAAAAAAATTACGACTTTACATTTTCGGATCTTATTTTTTATCATCACTTATGAGCATACATGTGATAATAATTAATTGTAAGCAGACAGATGATGCCAGGCATTAGCATTCACCTACTCCCTCCGACTGGTCCATGCGGATGGTGAAGGGTCATATCTTTGATTTTTCAATGCTATTGCTAGCAAGTCCAAAAAGAAAAAATAAACAATGGCAAACTGCTAGACAAGTTGGAGGAAGAGAAGAGACTGAGGGTCTGCTACCTGCCTGGTTCATATAGCAATAGTTTTGACAGTTTCAGTTGCAATAACCTCCTGAATTTCGTGAAATTCCAAGGGTTATCCAAAAATGTAGAATTATAACAGAAATCCCCTTAATTTACTTTACATTTCAGATTCAGATAATGTTACGCTGAACATTCAAGATTTTTTTTTTTTTTTTTTTTTGAAAGAATGATGAGAGTTGCGAAGAGAAGATGTGTGCGTGGAGTATGGAATTTTAGACACAAGCAAGAAAAATAATTAGAGTTGTGCATCTCAAGTCTCATATGTTTATATATCGAAACAAATCCTATTGTATGTGAAGCAAAAAGAGCACCGAACTTGATATGTACAGGATCAAATTAATGACAATATTATTTATTTCTACATCGTGCTTTCCTTTTAAATTCTTAATACTTACTATTTATTAAGTACTTTATCATATTATGTAGTTGTGGAAGGGTTTTCAGACAAATCTTGTAACTCTTAGGCAACAGAAGGTAATTTCAGCATACTTGGGGAGGTTATTGTGATTTGGGCATCGAGGGGAAAAAAAAATTGGGAGGGGGTTCAAGAGGGGGTCAACTATGTTGAATTATTAATGGTTCAAATTGGAAAGGATGATGAACTTCCAAGAAGAAGACATAAGCCGTCACAGTGATGTGCTTTGAAAATTAAACTCATTGACCCAGTTTCTCAACTATGCTCAGCCATAGTATCTATAAGAACCTCCATAGATCAGATATCATTTTCACCCGTACAGACACTTCGCTTTCCTATTTGAGAATTTGGCTTTCTTAGTTTCAAATCACAAGCTTTTCAGCAATTCTAGAAACAACATGGAGATGTCCCCATATAGACATGTTATAACAGAGAAAACAAGGTCAAGAAAAACCAGAAGAGCGTGGAAGTTGAAGCTTAATGTCACTTGGCAGTCTATCAAGAAGGCAGTAAGTTGCAACATCAAGAAACGTCTTCGTCTGCATCTTCATTTAAGCTGTGCAAGAAGCACCACTAACCAAATCCACCGACAGTCAGCTGTTAAACCACATCAAGATGCAAAATCAAAGAAGAAGGCCTGCCATCCCAACACAACTCTAGCTCACCTCCTCCGTGCGCCATATACAGCAATGGATTTTGTAGACCGAGGAGATCACATGACTCCTACACTATCTCCCAGGCAGAATATATCAGCAATGTGGCAAGAAATCCATGGCTCATCCAACTGGGAGAACCTTCTTGACCCTCTGCACCCCTTTCTTCGACGAGAAATTCTCAAATACGGAGAATTTGTTGAAGCCACGTATGATGCCTTCGACTTTGATCCTTTATCAGAGTATTGTGGGAGTTGCAGGTATAACCGACATAAAATTTTTGAAACATTAGGCCTCACCAAGCATGGTTACAAGGTGAAAAAGTACATTTACGCCTTGTCCCATGTAGATGTGCCTGAATGGTTAAAGAGATCCCATACTATGTGGAGCAAAGATTCGAATTGGATGGGTTATGTTGCTGTAAGCAGAAAAGAAGAATCGCAGAGAATCGGCCGGAGAGACATAATGGTCGCATGGCGGGGCACGGTGTCACCATCAGAGTGGTTTAAGGACCTCACCACAAGTCTAGAACACATTGACAACGCAAATGTTAAAGTTCAAGAAGGATTCCTTAGCGTTTACAAATCCAAGGATGAGTTGACCAGGTATAACAAGCTAAGTGCCTCTGAGCAAGTTATGCAAGAAGTGGTAAGAATGGTGAATTTTTATAAAGGAAAGGGTGAAAAGGTCAGCTTGACAGTTACAGGCCATAGCTTAGGAGGCGCATTGGCTCTCCTCAACGCTTATGAGGCTGCAACTGTCATTCCTGATCTATTTGTTAGCGTCATTTCTTTTGGCGCACCAAGGGTTGGAAACATCGCCTTCAAGGAGAAGCTCAATAAATTAGGGGTCAAGACCCTACGCGTTGTCGTCAAGCAGGATATAGTCCCAAAACTGCCAGGCTTGTTGAACAAAATGCTTAACAATTTTCATGGACTCACCGGAAAGTTGAATTGGGTTTATAGGCATGTGGGAACTCAATTGAAGCTCGATGCCTTCATTTCACCTTACTTGAAGCATGAATCTGACTTGTCGGGTTCTCATAACCTGGAGCTATATCTTCACCTGATAGATGGATTTGAGAGCAAGAAATCCAAGTATCGATGGAATGCTAGGAGAGATTTGGCATTGGTGAACAAGACTAGTGACATGCTGATAGAGGACCTTAAAATACCAGAGTTCTGGTACCAGTTTCCATACAAGGGACTCATATTGAACAAATATGGTAGATGGGTTAAACCTGGCAGACTGCCCGAAGATATCCCTTCTCCACTCAGTATCGAAACACCACCGAAGCATGGTCACCCATTTTAGATTTCTTTGCACTGATCAACATCACAGGTCCAAGTCTTCGTTTAGTGTTAAGGCTTCAAATTTGTTGATTCTTTAACTCGTCTCCAAGTAATTGCAACTGATTTGATGTATTCTCTACATCTGAAGCCGTTCTTCTCTTCTTACTGGAAACATAGTGATACTGTTGTTATGTTTTCTCTCTTGTACCTAGAAATCATGATTTGGAATTTGGCTAAGCATTTTTGGCTGTGTTTTTCCCCTTATATAATTATATCTTCTTTTGTCCTTCTGAGTTAATTACATGGCAAAAATAAAATAAAACATTAGAGATCTCCTTAATTGCACAAAAGAAAGGATAATGTTTGTGGAACAGCAAAATATTAACCGTGAGAAGGGTCTGTTGATGCCGTAGTTAGTAAATGTTAAGGAGTTATCTTCCCATAGCTCTCAACTGTACATCTTTTAGTCACTGATGCGCAGGTTCTTACGATTTCATCTTTGCTCCCAACTACTTTATAGATAATTTCTAAAGAACAAAGGCTTAAGATGCCAATGAACTCATCAAATCCGTCACCAATCTTGTAATTTCTTGCTGCTTTTAATGCCCTTTGGTATCAAGATTTAAACCAAGAAATCATGCCATTATTAGTACTAATTTAGCTACCAACTGTAAAGTTCTTTTTTTCTTTTTTCTTTCATGTAATCTGGGAACAAAAGTAGAAAGTACACGAGAGAAGGAAAGGATATTGCTTAAAACATCTCAATGCTAGAGTACAAAACAAAAGCTGGATCGAAATGGATTATCAAAGCATTTGGGCCCAAAAAAACAAAAAATGTTTTCTTATCCAAGAATTAAGAATGAATGAAAAAACAATCCTGCAAGTAGATCAGTCTAAGCTAGTTCGACAAATCATGCAACAGTTCTTGATATGGAAAGGATTAGCATTTTTATTGGTTAAAGCCTTAAGGTCCAAGTAAACAGTCGATCAGGTTTGATCAGATAGGCCACTTGTAGTTATCTTCCATTTCAGCGTCCCTCATCCATAACAGTATCATTTGCACTTGTACTTTCGGTCTACTGTCTCATGTTTTGTATAATTAACCATTATACATACCGAGTCAATTGGCATAGCAACCATTTTTCTTTCTTAACAAGCACTAGTAATGGCACGCGTTAACTTAATAAGCCTGCTGGAGTAGATAGATCCTCCGTATTTTCACTTCAGTGGATAACAGATGTTACCACCCAAGAGAGAAAAACTCGGGAAACAGCAAAGCAAGCAGCAAAATATAGGTAAAGATGGTATATTAAGACAAAAGTTTCCACAATCTTTCAATTGTATAGATGCAATATGGTGTTATTGCTGTCAGGAAAATAAATAACAGAGTTATTTTGACATTCAAAGCGTGTCAAAGTGGATCTACAACTTTAGTCAATATCTTAGCCTAGAAGATGATAGGAACCTTGCACACACAAAAAAAGAAAGAAAGAACGAAAGAAAACCTTGCAAATTTGTTCACAAAATAATAGCTGTAGCCGTTTTTCACCTATCGTCTACTCAGATTCACCACATCCAGGCAAAAGTTCGTGCGACCTGAAAATTGTGATAGATATGCGAGAATCCAAGTTTCTACCTCTGCAAGACCTGCAATAAACGTCGCAAAATTATGGTACCAAGGTGAAATGAACAATCATTCTCATAGCTGATTCGTCAGTTACTTGAACTCATTTGGTTGTGCACGCCAATTGCAGCATGTATTCAGGTATTACCAAATAGATCGTTGTTGGACTGCCAAATCATTACATCAGTTAACATTTCAACCATGTCTCCCAGCACTTTAGTCCCTGTCAGTTAATCTAGCCCATCCATAATTTCAATACTCTATCCTTGCCACCGGAGGCTACTTTCTCGCCATCTGGACTCCAATCAACAGCAAATACCTTACCCCAAAGAATCAGAACTAAATATCAGTACCATCATGTCAAATAAGATACGCATCAAATGGCCCTGCATTTGAAGTGGAACATACCTCATCTGCATGACCAGGAAGATCTTGCTTCAATTTCTGTGTCCGTATATCCCAAATCTAGAAATGAAGTAATTATCAGGTCAGAGGAATAGAGAGAAGGGAAGGCAACCAAAAGAAGCATCCTCGCAAAATAATACACTTTGGCACAAATCGCATGCAATGCTAGGGAGAAGCACATTTCCTAATTCACTGAAGATCAGTTAATCATTCAAGGAAAACCATAATTGCCTAATGCAATTCATTAAGAGAGGAACCAAAAAGCAGGAACTTCAAAACGGAAATCTCTGTGCAATATTGTCATTAACAATGAAAGCCTATACATCCCAAATGGGCCCGCTAAATCAGGACCCAACATCCTATCAATGTTTTTTAACCGAAGTGTATATAACCCTGCAGTCCAGAAACCCAAAATACCAAAAGAATAGGTTTACAGTTACCTTCAGTGTAGAGTCTTTGCTCCCACTTAAAAGAAGCCTACTGTCTGCAGACCAGCTGCAGGGCATCATGCAATTATAATGAGAACCACTGCAAAAGTAAGAGTATGGATATTCAGAAATGATCGAAACAAATCAAACCTGATCTGATAAACAGGTCCAACATGGCCTCGAAATGCAGCAACAAATTTTCCAGTAATGCCATTCCATAGCTTCACAGACTTATCAAATGATGCACTGGCCACCCATTGCCCATCAGGTGAGAAGTATACATGATTTACAAGCTGCAGCAACCAAAAAGAAGTTTAACACTTCAGCTCAAAAAATAATTAATATATAATTGCAATTCAAGACTCCACTTGACGGACAGAATTTGCAAGACTCAGGGAGTATATGTCTACACCTAGCATCTTTACATTGCACTCCCTACAAACAAGGATCAAGAACAAGGGTCGCAAGCAAAACAGAAAGTACCTGTTGATGACCTGTCATGCGAGTTTTAGGGTGTTTGCTGACAGCAGGTTCCCAGAGGAACATAGTGAAATCATCAGAACCTGAAACTAGTCTTTCAGGAGCATTGCCCTTCATTTTATTGTACCTTTCCAAAGCAACCTATAACATTTATAAATAGGTTGCAACAATCAGTTCCGTATAGACAGGAAAACTGAAAAACTGTAAGTACAAAGCACAATGTAACAAAAACAAAACTCTAAATGCTGGAAATCAGCACCATATTTATTTTTCTGCAGTTTTCTGGAATCATGGAACATTCTAGACACATAGCCCTAACTCAGGTAAACCCTTCCATCACAACTATGAGCAAACCAAAGAGGAAAAAGAAAACAATTGGCTTACATTCACGCACTATATTGACTATTGATAGTAGCAAATAAATTTAGCAAGATCCATGAGAAGTCCCCTCTCCCCTAAACTAAAATAATGTCCTTGATAAAGAGATAGTAAGTATAATGTTTTATATTGAGTTAGAGTAAGTAAAATATTTTTTTAAGTTTGAGACTAAAAAAAAAAAAGTTTTCTGCATATAATGGGATTGAATACCAGGCCCAAAAGAGGCTCCCAAGAAAGCAACTTCAGCATTTCATCCCATTTATTTAGTTATATCCCTCTATGAATAAAAAGTCCTGCTTCAAGGCATAAATCAGCAAAGTCCCAGAACTACAAAAAATTCCATTAACTACTTGCATATAAATTAGGTGTCGACACTCTTTTAACTGATGCCTTGATTTAAACATCTGAAATTATATCACAAAATCCATGCCCATACCCCTCGAATATTAAGTTAATACATAGATGATAAATAAATATGGTCCCAAGCAAAAAAACACTACAAGACAAATGTCTAGAGTTATCTTCATCATAATGCAACAACAGAAGCAAGTAGCAACTTTACCTTCTTCATTTCCTCTGGAGAAGAATACGTTTTTCCTGTATGATCAAAAGCTCCAGTGCGAAGAACATATTCAGTGCTCAATGCGAGAGAGTTAACCCAATGCCCATGACCCTAAAACAAGAACATTATGCACAAGGGGGAGTCATTAAGAAAGGAATAGCAGTTTGGCATCAACAATTGAAGTTTGAGATTATAAATTGAAACCTATAACCTGATTGGTAAATATAGCAAGGAACATTCTTTTCCACAATCAATAAGCAAAATTCTACAAAATATGTGGTCAGAAAATACAGTACTAAAATCACTGTCAAAGAAACAAATATGCACATGCAATTACCTTCAATTCACGAATTAGCTTCCCTTGTGAAGTTTCCCACACTTTAATGGTACAGTCTTGGGAGCTGCACCAATGATATGAAGACAAAGGTGAAATATGTAGCGAACACAGGAGCAATGACTGTTGAACCACAGTTTGACAGCATTTGATTTTCTGAGAATTAGGTTTATGAGTCAAAAGTGTAATTTGTACTAGCATAAAGTCATAAAGGCAGATAATGCCAGCTAATCTTCCAGAAAGGAAACCCCATCCATTGTTCCACTTTTTCTTTTTTATGGAAGGAAAGAAATGCAGTCCACTTTGCTGTGGACTGTGGAGTCTTCTAACTTTTTCAAAGTCAATCAAATATAAATCCCTTTTGTATTGATTGAATTTAGTTCATTTGTTTATATGATGACCTTCCAGTAAGTTTGGACAATAATTGGGACAGTAAAGTGTCAATTATTCCAGTCTCCTGTTCTCTTACTGATCAGCTATAATGTAAACCAGGATTCTTGGGTTGATCAGTGAAAAACCTTAATTTTAAGTTCTTAGATGAGAATGGGTGTAGTGGTTGTCTGATGAATATTTCACATAATTGTAGAACAGAAAAGCATACATACCCAGTATAAATTACTCCATCTCCACCCCATTTTACACAAGTTATTGCAAGTGTGTGGCCACTAAGACAAATAACAGATTTCCTTAGTGATATGTCCCATATGCGTGCATCACCATCTTTGCTAGCACTAACAAAGCGATGGCATGGAGCATTCAAGTGGACTGGTTCCCAAGAGATGCCAGTGATCCATTTTTTGTGGCCCTGAGAAGAGGCAAATTGCAAATATTAGTGTCCTAGAAATGATTTTCTTGGCACATCAACTAAAACACCAAATAGGATATTCCCTAAATGTTATGAAAGTTTCTACTATGTTGATTGAACGACATTTTGAATTTAAGAGGAAAAAAAGAAACTGATTGAATGTTGTAGGTTCACAATTAAATTTGTCGAGAAGACAAGTCAAAATTGAACACCTACTGTTTACAGTCCCAAAAAAACTAACAAGAAGAAAGCAAAAAACCCCGTAGTTGTTTTGTTGTAAATTTTTGACAAGATTTCACTATATATATATATATATATATCAAACACTATAATTGGAAAAACTCTTGACATGCAAAAGCAATAAAGGCACAAAAATCATCTCTGTTTTATTTTATGTTCTTTTTCAAAATAAGGGGACGAGCAACAGAATATCTACTCAAGCAGACAATAGTTCTCCATAATAACAAAAATTCAAGATTTTATCAACTTGTTCACTTATCCAATAAGTTAGATACATTCATCAGAAAAGGTAAATTACCAAACTGATTAAGCAACTGGAAACAGACAAAAACAGGAGTATGACCCTTCCGATAAATATTTACAATACAAACTAAGTGGGATATGAGCTATCAGCCATTCTAGTATATAGAGACTTTACCACAAGCGGGTTTCCTGACGGCTTTCCTGTCTGAGGATCCCAACACTGAAGTTCTCCAGCCTTGCTCCCACTCACAAGATGCTTACCATCCGGTGACCATGCAATGCAAAGAACCCAATTCTTATGACCTGCATCAAGAAGTTCGTATATGATCAACAGCATGAGTAGAAATGAAATGAACAAATAGGGTGACCATCAACCTGACTTATTTTAGATGGCAACCCTTCCTTGTGAAACATCAAATACCATCCAGCAACAGGTTTCTTTCCTAGTTAAAGAACCCACGATGAGCACACTCATGCATAACGTTGTTTCAATTTTGTTAAGACAATCAATCTGAGATCTCACATGTCATCAAAATGAACAATAAAAAAACTTTACTCTGACCACTAAAATAAATAAATAAACAAGAGAGTTTCCAAAAAGAAACAAATTCATATAATATCAACCTTGAATTTGTCACAGTACTCATTTTTATTTTTACTTTTTGGTATTCTTAAACAGCAACTTCAACTACTACGCACAAACAGGCTAAAAAAGTGATATGGTTTCAACCTGTACATGTAAACATCGGTGTCTGTGTGCTAAGATCCCATAGACGAACAGTGGTATCACCAGAGCCACTGGCCAACTGTCTCCCATCAGGACTAAAGGCAACTGAAAGTACAGCTTCAGCATGACCTGGGGTGAGGTAAAAAAGGGCAGCACATGTAAGAAAACAATTCAACACCACTATCTGTGTGCTGGTAATTTAACTAAACAAAACAAAGAAACCATCTCATGCATATGTTGGTTTTTGTTTGGGGGGGTTGGGGGGTTATGCCGAGGTAGATATGCAATTGTTTCAAGGTGTATGGCAAGCACTAGTGACTAAAAACAAATATAAAACCAGAAAGCAAGCAGTTTAAAAAAAAAAAAAAAAGTCACAAAATGTTCATACAATAACCCAAGACAAGAAGAAAACCACAATCGTACCAGCAATAGTCGCAGAACAACGATTAACCGGACGAATTCGGAAAATAGCTTGTGGTTGATAAACAATTGCCAGTACCTTCTCCACCGAAACTGAAAGCTCATAAAAATAAACAAATTAACAACCTTCCCTAAACACAACAAAAAGAAAAATCTATAGACAAAACTAAAATGTTATAATTCTCCTTTTAACTCTCACTAACCTTTGTTTTTTTGTAAGTAAGTTTCAAGTGGCACAACAAGTTCTAGATCCGATATAAAAAAAGCATATGGTAACTTCTCTTCCTGAACCAAACAAAACACAAAATTCAATACCATTTGAGGTTTTTCAATTTTTAACGCATTGTTTTTGGTAACTAAAAAAGACCCAGTATTGCAAACCAAATAAAAAATAAACTTACATTGTTAAGAAGCTTATTAACGATTTGTTGAAGTTGTTGTGGACCAGCGTTTTGAGGAAGATACAAAGGAGCTCCAAGTGGTGTCCCTTCTGGGTCTGTGAATTGGCACATAACATTGTTCACTGTTTCATCCTCCATCTTTTCTTATTCAAAATTGTTAGTTTTTGTGTTTGTTTGTTTATATATGTATTTATATCTACAAAAGGGAAGGTTTTTAGAGATTGGGAATAAAGGGATGTTAGGGTTTATGGCTCCCTCCCTCTGCAACTGGAAGTAAAGAAGAATTAGGGTTTCTCGAAGGTTTAAAGTTTAGGGGTTTTAACGGTTTTGTGATGGTGTGGCAGGGAGTATTGTGAATGCTTGCGTGGCGTTTGCTTTCTGGTTCAATAGCTGCAGGTGTCAAGATTTTTTTATTTTTCATATCTCTAATGTATCGTTTGATAATTAGAAATAGATTATTAAAAATTAAAAATAGGTTATTAAAAATAAGAATGAAAGTTTAATTATCATGTTGTAGTAGTTTGGTTAAACAAATAAAGTGGAAATAGAAATAAAAAGTTAGAATAGAAATAAAAATTTACACACAACTTCATTCTAATATAAGATGTGATAATCATTATTTTTATTTATATAAAAAATTAAATATTAAAAAATTTAAATTGCATTTCAATTTCTTATTAGTATTTCAAACACAGTATAGAAATACAAATGTCATTTCGATTCTTTAATTTTCATTCTCATCATTTTATTTCGATTATCAAACAACATCTAAGAGTTTTTTCTTTTCTTTTTAGAATGTAATATCAAATTTGTTGTGCATGAGAATGTCCGTGCAATTGTCCATCTTATTCTGAAGATCATAAAATTGGGATGATTATAAAAAAAAAAACCCCTCTCAAAAAACTTATATAAAAAAATCCATCAATTTATTCTTAAATCTTTCAAGCCGAAATAATATTTTTCTTACCAAAACACTCAATAGGTAACCTCTAACTTAACATTAGTTAGCTATTAGATCTTTTACTAAGAATTTTTTTTTATTTTTAGGTCCGAGAGATTTAAAAAATAAATTGATGAATTTTTTAGATAGAATTTTTTTAGAGTTTCTTTAATAGTTTTTATCTAATAATAAACTCATTTTATAGTTTTTAATGAGTTTGATATTTATTGTTTTTTTTTCATGATCAAGTCAAGTTCTTTTTTATTGCATTTGAAAGAAAAAAGATGTTCCTTGACTTTTAAACACTAACATTTGACTACTTTTTTTTATTATACTAAAAAATTTCTTATATTAGATTTTTTTTTATCGACCGTTTGTTTCATTAATTACAAGATTAATTTTACTATCTAATAACTATAACAACCGATGCAATTTAATTAATTAATGTTGATGAAATAAGACTTTTGTCATTCTCTTATAATTTAATCAAAGGGTTATCATACAATTAAGAAAAATAAAATATGTATGATTATGAACGTTAATGATTTCTTAAATCCTAATATATCGATAAAAAAAAGAAGCATGATCGGTAATACTAGTTTTTAATTAATTAAAACTCAACAATTTTTTTTATCAAACAATTAAATTAAATTACAAGATAAATGTATAACATATTTTTATACATTAATTAAATAAAACATGATCATCCGTTATAAAAATATATATCTCGAAAGATAATTATTTCATTTAAGCTATTTTATTTTTAAATCTCTTAGATACAAAATAATATTTTTAAATCTCATAAGCCTAAAACAATATTTTTCTTACTAAAACAATCAATAGTCAACACTAGTATTAATTATTATGTGTTTTTTATAAGTAAAATATTATTTTAGGTTTGAGAGATTTAAAAATAATTTTATGAGTTTTTTATATAGAATATTTTTTTATAAGGTTTTTCTAGTAATTATCCGTATAAAATTTATTTACGTTAAATAATAATAATAATAATATTTCATTGCAGCCAAACAGACAGGCCTGGCCAGTCAGTCCTACATCGTGCCACCGAACGTTTCGACTTCATCACTGTTGTTGTTCTTTATGTCGTTTGGTTTGTTCTTCAAATAAAAAAATGGCTCTAAATCTACCAATAACTGAACCATCACTGATCACTCCGTAACCCAGAAAAAGAAAACCACCAGCCATCATCATGTCCACTCTTAAGACTCTGATTTTTATCACAACACTGATACTAACACTGTCACCAGTAGCTTTGTCAAGGCTAGAAGCTATAGAATCTGTACTTAAACGATTGGATTCTAAACGGGCTTCTTCATCAGTTCAAGAATCAGCAGCTAAAGCTGTTTTGAAAAGATTGCTTCCTGCTTATGTACACAGCTTTGAGTTCAAGATTGTATCCAAGGTACATAACTTAACCCCTCTTTGTCAATTGAATTATGGGGTTTGTTTTCTTGCTGGTTTTCTTGAAGTGGGTGAGGTTGCTTTAGCTTTGTTGTTCTTGTTGTCTTCGTATAGTTTGCTGATAATTTGAAGGAATATAATTACAGCAGAATGTTTACTTTTTACTGATTGATCTTACTCACTTGTAAATATCAGGATGTTTGTGGGGGAAACAGTTGCTTTTTGATAAACAATTACAAGAATTCGAGTCAGAATGGACCTGAGATAATGTATGCAGTTTTAATTCTTGCTTAAGACTATAGGTTACTGTTTTAATTTTGCGGCACAGCTCATTGGACATGATTTCCAAAGAAAATCAGTTTGCTGATTTAAATTGTGTTGATGAATTCTTTACTGGCTTTGGTCATAAATGTCGTTGACATTTGCACAAGTCGAGTCAATCAGTTTCTTAATTATGATCTTGCTATCAAGCTCGGATCTTGTTGGCTTTAGGAAACACTGTGCTCGTCATATTTCAAGGTTCTGCAATTTTACAGTGACACTACCATCTAATACAATCAAAAAACTTTTTTAGAACATCTAAGTATATTTGTTGAAATTGATACCAGAAATGGTGTTTGAAATAGTTCAACATTTTTCTTTCAACTTCTTTTACCGAGATGCAGATGATGTATTAATTTGCATGAATGTCATAGCAGCTTAGTGTTAAATCAGTTGGTCTTTCACCTTATTGGCATTCTTCACGTTAGGGTATAGTCTTATTTGAAAGCCATAGGTTGGAAGCTCAAAGAGTCTGCTGTGGAGAGAGTAGGAATAGCGTTCTTGTGTCCTTCCTGACAGTGATAGTTCAGCGGGTTTTATATCATCTTATTTGTCTTTTACTTTCTTCTTTCCTGTATCATTCTACCTACAAAAACAAAGGCAAGAATTTTTCTTCTTTTATTTTTTATTTTTTATTTTTTTTGACATTTTGGTTGCTATATCTCACTTTTAGCATTAAAGGCACCACAGCAGTAGAGATTGCATCCGGCCTCCACTGGTATATAAAGTACTGGGGTGGTGGTCATGTTTCATGGGACAAGACTGGTGGTGTTCAGATAGCCTCGATTCCAAAGCCAGGATCACTGCCTCTTGTAAAGGATAAGGGTGTGATGATTCAACGACCAGTCCCATGGAACTACTACCAAAATGTCGTTACTTCCTCTTGTAAGTCCTATCTCTTTTGCCTTTACCTTTTTACTGAGATCCAATATGTGGTAATCACTATGGAGATCACATATTCAACTGTGCAACATTAGAGATGGATAATGAATAAGCAAAATACTAGGTTATGGATACCATGTGCTTATTATAGCTATCTGCATGACTATCTTTACTTCAGTTCATCTTAATTGCTTGAGATGCATATGTCAGTTATATTACATGTTGTGCAACAATCCAAACTTAGTCCTGGGTACAACTTATTGGTAGCATAAGCATCAAATTTTAGCTTCTTTCTTGTTGAATTTATTTTACATGAGTGTGTTTCTTTCAGCATAAGCAAATCCTTTGATGCTCTAATACTATATATGTCATGATATGGGATGGTTTTGGTAAATTGTAATATCAGATTTTCTTTTACTGCAGATTCTTATGTTTGGTGGAATTGGGAAAGGTGGGAGAAAGAATTAGACTGGATGGCTCTTCAAGGGATTAATCTGCCTTTGGCATTCACTGGACAAGAAGCCATTTGGCAAAAAGTTTTCATGGTGAGCCATTGTCAACACCATTGTTTAACTTGATGTGCCATCCACTAGAGTGGATACAGAATTTGTCTTTTGCTATGTTGCAGCTCATAGTCATAGGTATAGCGCACATACTTCATGTCTTGTCAAAATTTTATGTTTAGGAGATGACCATGTCAAGATTTTGTGTATGAAAGGCTTAACTCCTGTGTGGTAAGCTACAACAAAGCACACTTATCCATGCTGGTCAATCAATCATCAGTTGTTACATGAATTTTTTTAGATGGTTGCATAGGTGATTTGTTTGTGAGCTACCAATGAATACGACACCTTTGCAAGTGCCATTTTGAGTGGAATGGTAAATTAGGCTAGCAACCAAAAGGTTGCAGTTTCATGGTCTAAGACCAATTTTTTGATGCAGAATCATTGAAGAGGGAAGTACTGTTTGTGAATTATCTTCCCAAGACAATATCTTAGTGGGACCATGGGGCCATAACCTATCAATGGGGTGCCTTGTTCAGTGCCTTCAAAGGCAGTGAAGAATTGGCACTAAAGAAGGTACCCAGTAATGGCCCTTTATTTCTTGGGTTCATGATATGGGACCTTGTCACACGGCTACTTTTATACAAACTCGAATCCAATTCCATCTTCATTAAAGATGTTACTTTTATGCTTTCTTCATTTGTAAGATTTCTAGCCTTGTAACTGTGGTCTCTTTATCATATTTGAACTTTCAGTATGTCTAGAGATAATGACTCAATCAAGCTGATCAATTATTGAGTTTATATGTACTTTTTATAATTGTAAGTACAAGCAATTGCGCTTTCAACGTGAGCAGTTGCTATTTTGATTAGACATATTAAGATGTGTGTTTATTTGGTTAGTTGTTTCTGTGTGTTCATTGCAGAATTTTAATATCACTACAGAAGATTTGAATGATTTTTTTGGTGGACCCGCTTACCTTGCTTGGGCTCGTATGGGAAATTTACATGGGTGCGTAAACGTGATTCATGTTTCTGTCCCCCTTGTTTTTGTTCAGAGTATGTTAGTCTTGCTATCCCGAGGTGTTTTCTGAATTCCAAGATGTAACTATAGAAAGAAAGTTAGAGGGATAGGTGTGCATTATACTTTTCTGATGTTATATATCCTTTTTATGCAAAATAATCTGCCTCCTAATATGCTTATCACTTCGCCCAAAAGTTTCCCTTCATGGACAATGTGTTTTGTGCACAAAAACTCTCTGGCTTCTTTAAGCCATTTCAAGAAGGCACCAAACTGGAACATGAGCTTTATCGTGAGCTCCAATGTTGACAAGGATCACACACATGCTGCTCAAAACTCCACCCATGAGTTCTGACCTCTCCTGTTCCATCCACAAAAGAAACAATAGCAATAAACACATCCCCGCAATTTGTGTTTATACATATCTATGAGATCCTGACATGTTGGCTAAGCTACAATCAAAGAGATGTCTTCATCTTGTGATTCTAGTATGTAAACCCTCTATTGCCTAATACAGGTGGGGTGGGCCTTTGTCACAAAATTGGTTAGGTCAACAATTGTGTCTGCAGAAACAGATACTGTCTCGGATGCTAGAGCTAGGCATGACTCCAGGTAAACTAAAGCTTCCTAACAGAAACAGCTATTGATTACAATTTTCATGTAACATAATGCATCTACAAGGCATTCAAGATGATACTCTTGGCATATCTCTTACACGGGAGTATGAGATAAAATTTTGTTTAAAGAGATGAAAATTTCTATTGTATGCTCCTTCTCAAACTACTAATGTAGCTGATCAAATGGATTGCCATCTTTGTTCCAGTGCTGCCATCATTCTCTGGAAACGTTCCAGCAGCTTTGAAGAAGATTTTTCGTTCAGCAAATATAACAAGACTTGGAGACTGGTACTTCTCTTTCCTTAATGCAGTCATCCCCTCTGTACTCAAGAGCTACTCAATGTGTCATTATAATTGAGTAGACTACAAGTTCTTGTTACTTAATTACTTCTATGATTTTTCATGTCGTAAAAAACAGATTAGGATTTCTTTTCCTTTTTTTTTTTTTAAGTAATCTCTTTCTGTCTGAGAGTTTCATTTTTAAGCTGTAACTTATTTTTTCTTGTATATTGAGTTTATTTCCGTTTCTTATTGCCATCAGGAACACAGTGGATAAAAATCCTCGGTGGTGCTGCACTTACCTTCTTAATCCTTCTGATCCCTTGTTTGTTGAAATTGGGGAGGCTTTTATAAGGCAACAGGTTAAGGGTATGGCTATGCTTGTTGGTTATTTACCTTTTTCTGATCAGATTTATTTGAATTGTTAGCCTAACACACTTTTGCATAGTTCTACATCATTGAATACTTATTAGTAAATATTTCACAAAAAAGGTAGGAACTTCAAATTTCTGAAAGGCATTGGAACAGAACTTTTAACCTTGGTGTCATACTATTAGTGCTAAGAGTCTATGTAGCTTTACAGACACATGCTAGCACAAGCATCCCTATGCAGACATGCATAAGTGATATAGTGCAACCAGGAGGGGTTGAATAATCCCCGAAATAGACTTAGGTTAGCATTAGAAATATAGCATTTGATACTTCCATTTGGGTGTACATATCATATCTCCATATTCTTTAATTGATTTTTGACTGGCTGTTTGTTCTCATGAGTGGTATTTTTTTCAGAATATGGGGACGTGACAGACATCTACAACTGGTAATTCTCATACTTGTAGTTTAAGGAATCCGTCTTGCCAACTTGAGTTCCATGGTCAAAGTGCTTCAATAACTTGTATGTTGCTGTTAGTCATAAACTTGTTAACGTATGATGATATCAAACCGTGTGATGATATCAAACTCTCTCATTTTCTGTTGAGCTTTTATGCATTAGGAGCAGACCCACTGCCCAGAAAATTGATGATCACTGTCAGGATGATTAATGAAGTAGCCTGATATTCTGTTCTAAATTCAGAAGCCTTTGAATTAATGTTAATATTGTGTCTACATGTACATGGGAAGCTATTTTGCTTCATTAACTCTTTAACTTATTTCACTAGCAAATAAAAAATAAAAATAAAACACAATTAGATTGTTTGGAAAATAAAGGAAAAGTAAGGGAAGAAAAAATTTGGCCGTTACAGTGATAAAGTTTTTTCTCCTCGCTTGGTGATTTCTGTTTTACCCCATTATCAATGTCTGTAACTGTGCTTTGTCTGTATTTATACTGAATATTGGTCGCACTGTCTTGAAATCTGAAGGGTAGCAGATGTAATTGGCTATTCTATAAAGTGTCGTCAAAGGAAAAAAGAAAGCATCACCTTCACTGTATTTTATTGCTGTGGTAGCAGCGCTAAGGACATTACTGATGGAGAAAAACACAATTTGCATGAAAAAAAAAGTCACTAAAGCACTAATGGGTAAATGACGTGGCATACGTTTGCACTTGACCCAAAGATCTGTGGCAAAGCACAGATTGGATAGGATCAATCCTTTCCCGCTTGCATTTTAGTGCACTCTTGCCATGCTTGCTAACATGGATTAATTAAACTTTACATCATTTGATGTAGTGATACTTTCAACGAGAATTCCCCACCTACAAGTGATCCAGCTTATATCTCTTCACTTGGTGCTGCTGTATATAAAGCAATGTTGAAAGGTGATAAAGATGCTGTGTGGTTAATGCAAGTATGCTCCTCAATTGTCCTAGCACTCTCCCCTTAAGTTATCTGTCTCCTTGCTGAAGTCAATGTTTTTATGGCATACATTGAATGGTCGAAATTTCTCTGTTACATTTTTTCCTGTGTGTGGTTTATATTATTAAAGATGTCCAAACGCAATCTTACTGTGTAAAACTTCTCTTTTTCTCTCTTTTCTTCTCCTTGGTAAAGTAATCCAATTAACAGTTTGACCAATGCACAGGGTTGGCTCTTCTACTCAGACTCTGCTTTCTGGAAGCCACCTCAAATGCAGGTACATGTGATGAGACAGAAACAACTTTTAGTCTTACTGTTTTCTTAAGATGTGGGCTAGCTTGCTTGACTTCCATTTGTGAATTTCAGATTCTTAAGCAGACAGTCACTAGAACCGGTTAAAAACCACAAATTGAAACACGTAGCTCTTAGGCACTACCATATGGGCGAAATAAAGCATGAAAGTGGGTAGTATGCATAATCTGATTGAAGGAGATCATATGTCCAGTAACGACCCATAAACTCTAGAGTAAGCTGCTTTGGTACTGCTGGAATGTTCTCAAAATCTGCCTCTAAAAATATATATTGTTGATTAAATTTGATAAATAGCGATATTCTCTTTTGATTGATCTCCAAGGTAGTTTATGGTTGAAACATTTGCGTTTTTTATTTCACATTAGTCCTATCTGAGCAATTTTCGTTTTTCAGCCTGAACCATGCCTCAACTTTTATGTTCCCATTTCTCTATTCCCGGGTGCTTCTTGCTAATCATACAAATGTGGCTTATTTTGGATACTTTTGTTGTTTAAAATTTTCAATTTGGTGGTATTTGCAGGCTCTTTTACAGTCTGTTCCATTTGGAAAAATGATAGTTTTAGATCTGTTTGCCGAAGCCAAACCGATATGGAGAAATTCCTCACAGTTTTATGGCACTCCTTATGTTTGGTAATTAGCTGTTTCTTACGATGTTGGCAAGAATTTTATCCTTTCCTACGCCTTTGTTTTTAAATTGGGTTCAAATTCAGTAACAAATACATTTACAATTGGTTGAACATACATCAGGTGTCTGTTGCATAATTTTGGGGGAAATATTGAAATGTATGGCATATTGGATGCAATATCTTCAGGTCCAGTTGACGCCCGCATCAGCGAAAATTCAACCATGGTATGCTGAGGGTGTGTGTGTGAATTGGCATTCCATTCGTTGTGATACTTTAAGCAAGTAAATTTTGTGAACCTACAAGGAAGTATGCCATTTTAACATGATGTTGGAGGTGAAAGAAATTACAATTAGTACAGTGTTAGTTCATGTTGATGCCTTTGATTTTCTCTATTTTTCTGCACATAAGAATAATAACTTATTATATTTATCTTCTGGCATAATATTTTTAGTACTTGTATAGAACATGCTGTTTCATGTAGCTTACCATTTAATGTTCAAGCAGGTTGGTGTTGGCATGTGCATGGAAGGAATAGAGCAAAATCCGGTTGTTTATGAACTGATGTCTGAAATGGCATTCCGCAGTGGAAAAGTTCAAGTTCTGGTAATTTCAGGGTTATAATTTATGTTCCATGCTTGAATAGTTTTGTTAATTTGAGTTCAAACTCAGGTAATTCATGATTGTAACACTAGTTTTTACATGCATTGATCCATATATTTTGAAATTATATCATGCTTTAACAAAAACAACCATTATGTAATTGGGTTTCCAAATGTGCTTTTTATAAATGCAATCATCTATGAATATCATGATATAAGTGGGAACTTGAGACTGATTAAAAGAGAGTATCCTTATTCTTGTACATGACTTTTTGTTGTATTATGGATATTGTTTAACTTTAATGATTTTTTAGGAATGGTTGAAGACCTATTCCCGTAGACGATATGGTAAAGCAGTTCGTCAAGTTGTGGCAGCTTGGGAAATTCTTTACCACACGATTTACAATTGTACAGATGGAATTGCTGTATGTTTTCTATTATGTCGATTAGCTGCCATATCAATATGTCATTTTAGTTTCCATGATAAGATAAAATTATAAACTGAACTAAGCAGGAGATGAGTCATAACAGTGACAGAGATTCTTTTCAATGTTCCAGTGTTCGATTATTACTATTTTGATTTGTTATTTGATAAACAGGCTACCAATTTTTGGCTTGCCTCTCTTAAATCCTAAAGATTGTTTTTCATTGTCTGCAGAACCATAACACAGACTTCATTGTGAAATTTCCTGATTGGGATCCATCGCCGAATTCTGGATCTGACGTATCTCAACAAGACAATATGCACGTTCTCCTCACGTTACCTGGAACAAGAAGATTCTTATTCCAAGATAAAAGTTCTGATTTCCCTGAGGCACATTTATGGTATTCCACACAGGAGGTGGTCAAAGCTTTAGCGCTATTCCTTGATGCTGGAAATGATCTTACTGGAAGCCTCACATACAGGTAAATGTAAAACCCAATGTGCACTAGTTCATGATCTTTTTCTTCTACTTTAGAATCTTGTGCATCATCACCATTCACTTCCAAGTTCCAAGTTCATCTGGAAAGCTAGTAAACATCCTTAATATGATTCATCTGAACCGACCTCTTTTTAACTTATAGCTCCTTGGTTGAATATGTATCTGTTATGGCTTCTAACCAGCCAAATTCAGTGTGTGATTCAGCAGGATTGACTCAGTCCATATCATATGACTGAATTACGTTTTTTACTTTTTGAAATGCATGTTACTTGAACTTTTTAGTAATTTGCACAAAAGTTATTGGAAAGATTTTTTTTTTTTTCTTTTTAGTGAACAGGATTTAACTGAATAGAGAAAGCTGCTTTGTAAAAGCAACTGGATCTAGAAATCCAAATTCTCATAGAAACTTTGCCATATTCTGAACACACGTTTAGATGTAGGAAAAATGGTAAGAGACCTTAATAGAATTAGAATGCCAATCAAAATTTATCAGGTTTTTTTTTTTCAAAAGCATGTAATTGTATAAGATGGATATGCCATTTGAGGCTACAACTGAAAACACTTGTTTAATGACAATTCCATGCAACAGACATGCGAGCTAAAGCAAACACCAATCTCCTAAACATCCCTATTACCCCAACCTGGTGAACTGTAAAAATATGGCTCGATGTCTCCACTCTTCAAAAATCCCCAAGCTCTCTCCGGCAGCTAATAGGAGTGCTTGGTGTTTCTTTGCATTGCCTGATGATATTCTGGATTTATTATTTGATATTGACTTTAATGAATAACCTTTTGTCATTAAGTTCTACAGTTCTTGTGTGGTGCTGAGGTGTCAGCTTATGATCCTATGCTTGCCCATAAATATGGTCTGTTCTGTTGGATAAGTGATGCTTTGTCATGGAGTGTAGAAATTCTGTTGGAATGTTTGTTTGTGCAGATTACTCTTATATGACATAGAGAAACAAAGAAAAGAAAATAGAACGTCGTGATTCTTTATAGAATATTATTTTGACAGGTATGACATGGTTGACTTAACGAGGCAAGTACTGTCAAAGTTAGCAAACCAAGTATATAAGGATGCTATGATTGCTTTTCAAAGGAAAGATGCTAGAGCTTTGAATCTTCATGGCCAGACATTTTTGCAGCTCATAAAGGATATCGATGTGCTTCTTGCTTCTGATGATAACTTTCTACTGGGAACATGGCTTGAAAGTGCAAAAAAGCTGGCACTTAATCTAAATGATATGAAGCAGGTGAGAACTAATAGTTCCCTAGCTTTGGAGAATAATAGTAGTCTTTATATGATTGAATTGTATAAGCCAATATGTTTTTTCTTCGATCATGTGATATACCAGCTCGATGAAATTTCATGTCAACATTGGGGTTTGCTGCACAATTTTTTTTTCAATTTTTGATTCTATCAATGTTATAGCTGTCTGTTTTCTGTTAAATCAGAGGTCACCTTGTCTTTTCTCCCAGTTCAAATAATTTTGCTTCCTAGTTCAAGTCATGCCTTCAGCTTTCTTTCGGTTATATTTCCTCTCGTCAATGTTTTTCTTGTCGCATAAATGTTCAGAAGCACATCACCGATTATGGTGAACTGAATTTACACACTGTTGTCTATGATTTTGTATTGGATCAATTTGATGACGCCATCTTTTGAATTGAACAAGTTGTTGGAACAGTGTTTTCTTTGTTCTTTTTCAGAAACTATAACAATGTTTTTATAAGGCAAAATGGATGATTTATTATTACTGAACGTACTGGTTATTTTCTCCAGTATGAATGGAATGCAAGAACGCAAGTGACAATGTGGTATGATACGACGAAAATCAATCAGAGCCAGCTTCATGATTATGGTAATGTTACTATTAACTCTTCACCTTATTTATTTTATTTTTAACGTTCTCCCTCTTTTCTCGATTAGCTAACAAATTCTGGAGCGGGCTACTAGAAGACTATTATCTTCCACGAGCTTCAACCTATTTTGATCATTTGATGAAAAGCCTGGAAGAAAATAAAAGCTTCAAGTTGACGGAGTGGAGAAAAGAATGGATAGCCTTCTCAAACAAATGGCAAGCGGATACGAAGATTTATCCCGTGAAGGCCAAGGGAGATGCCCTTGCTATTGCCAAAGCATTGTACCAAAAATACTTTGGTTGATATTTTTATTATTTCGATGCTGTAAAAATTGTGGTGGCCATGGTGATGCGCGAAGAATGTTGTAAAAACCTACACATTTAAAGCACGGCCTTGTCCAAATTTGCCATTAAGAACTATTGTACACTGCACGGTTTGTCACAATTAAAGATCAAATCTTATCTTCCATTCATTTTAAGCCATTGGTCATTTTAGACATTTGATTTGATCGTTCGCTGTTATAGATGCAAGTGAGACAAACACCAATTTGCAGAACGGTTCAAAAAAGTAGGTAAGTTTGGAAGAAGGGTTTTTCTTGTATAAACAAAGAACCAGTACAATTAGAATCATAACTATGCTTCTTTCTTTTCTCTGGGTTTTACCCCAATTAGCCGCATTACATGTACGCCTAAAACCATTCCTCCAAAATGCCAAACGGTCATGGCACCTCTATGGACTTATAAGCTGCAGGAGTTGGACATGTATGTTCACCCCCTCCCGTGCCTCTGCCTGTTTTCTTGCATTTTTCCTATTTCATTCTATTTTCTGAAGGACATGAAGGGTCTGTATTGATTTCGGATCCAAACCAATCCAGCCAGCTGCTTTCTCATCGAGGAGCATATTTCCATCATTAGCATCATCAAATTTGGATTCGTTAGTAGGTCCATATAGTCACAATATCGCTTCTTGAAGGCCAACCTTGCCACTAAGATATAGTTGTGTAGGAATGTCACATTTGTGTAGACTGGGGACTGCTTCTGTCTGTGTGAGTGTTAATGATCCTGTCAGCGCCAGCAAAGGCTCTAGCAAAAATGTTTGACTCTCACTTTTTCTTTCCTTCTCTTTTCTAATTTCTTCCAATAGTGATTTGCTTGTGTCGATACCTATTTAGTCGATCGGAAAACATGAAAATAAGTACGATCCAGAAACCACATTTTCAGATAGAGTTCCATTACAATTTTTCAAAAGAAACTCCGTATTCTCACCTGCAAGATATCCACCATGGACGTAACCACTGAATCGTTCGCTAGTGTGTTCACCAGTGAAGAAGATACGCCCTATTGGGGCCTGGCCAAAAAAAAAAAATTAGAAATGTCATTATATAGCTCACCTTTTACTGGGGCCTGACCGAAACAGGAAAATTTTAGAAACGCATTATTAAGCTCGCTAATTTTTCCTCCTTTTTATATATAAAACTATTGCAACATTGGAATTACTATGTAGAGCCAGAGTGAAAACAGACAAATAATTGCAACAAAAATAAGATGGGATTACCTTAATATCATGAACATCTTGATTATCAGAAATGATGGGATAGTTGCTGTAGCTGCCACGCTGGAATCTGTTGTTCCACCAGCGGGGCACAAGTATACTTGTGGCGTTAGGTACATTGGGTCCAAACATGTCCCTAAGCACCCCCATAGCTTCTTCCAATGTCTCCTCGTCAGATTGAGCTTCGACACGTTTCGATTCCTCATTGGTCAGTGTTACTACCAAAATATTCGAACCAGGATATGCATTTTCCATGTGCTGATGACAAAGCAACAAGTCAGCAGCCAGCTTGGATAAGTTCAGTGAGTTACAAACTATGATTTGATTATTAAGAGATATAATACTTATCAATCAATCACATCCATTTGCCATATTATATAGCATAGAATCTGCATTGATATTACATCAGAAAAAAGGAAAAAAAGAAATGAAAATGATGGAGACAGTGAGACCCCGCATTGCCTCCGCAAGAGGCCAGAAACAATCGTTAAATTATTTCAATCCTCTCCTAATCAAACGAAAGGAGATAATCTTACATGTTGTGGGTCTCAAAATTGATTATCATGCACATATCTCGCCTTGAAAACATAAAAGTATAAAAAAGAGAGGCTAACATTGCAAGTGATTCCCTTAATTCAGCAGATATTGCCATCTCCAAGACAGTGACAGAAACATCAGGTATATCATAACTGAAAGAACAATACCAACAACAAATAATGCAAGATATTCTAGTTTGCTATCTGTATTCTGTGGCAAGAAAGCTAATCAACATTTTCTTATCATCTCGTAATCAAGCTATCATATCAAATCTCAAATACCAGAGGACCAGCTGCTTTATTTAGTCCAGTGTTATGTGCTTGGCTATTCATTAAATTTGTGATATTACAAACCTCTCCTCTATAGAAAAGGTCCCAAGTTGGAATTTTCCCTTCCAAGAAACTATCAAAATATGTCATCATTGATGCTGAAACTGTTTGACACTAAGCCTAATTTGCCAAGTAGCAATTTCTATACGTCTTTTGGATTGGAAAAAAGTCAGCAACTGTGTTCCCCTTGACATCATGCAGTCTATTGACAAGTTGACTTCTTCAACTACAGGTTGCCTTAAAGTTGCTTTTATAATTGAAATATTTAAATGCAAGGCACTTGGGACAGACATTGAATTGAATCATTATTGCCATCGCAAGAACAAGCACGTTTGAAGTTCCAAATGTAGTGTTGGAACAGTTTTTTTCAAATTCCATGCAATAGAAGCAAGCAGCCAGGCAGCATCGGAAGCAAATGTAATTAATTTGGGAAGCAAAAACAAGAGCGAGAAACAACCTGCCAAAAGGTGTAGTATCCCCTCCGCTCGTGAGCATAGATGAAGAACTCTTTACCGGGACCACATGGCCAAAATTTGTAAGGAAACTTCAGGAAAATCTTTGTATATACCATCACATCACATTTCTCTATGGCCTCTGTTTTCCACCTCTGCATTATCATTATTTTCGTTTAATTAAATACAACACAGAACAATTACTTATATTATACTATGATGTCAGTAAGCTTCAAACCAGCTAAGCTTTCTTAACTTATTCCGAAAAACAAAAAACAGGTAACGTATTTGTCAACTTAAAAATAAGGAAATAAAAGCTGATATTCTATTCTGAGTCATTCCTAGAAGATGTGCCTAGCAAATTATGCGAATCATGTGAACAGAAAAGCATCCTAAGTTTCACTAAAAGGGAAAGATCACATCCTGCACCCATATACGTGTTATCTTACAAGTGACAACACACAGGCTTGGACAATCTAGTGATTGAAAATCCAACAACGTAACGAAAACAAATATTCAAAGCAAATTAACCCCTCCTAACTCTCAACGTAATGAAGCAATCAAACCATGCACAAGGTTCTTAATCAGTGTCTTCAAATTTGTAATTCTATCTCTTCCTTTTCTAAGTAATTAATCCTACATCGCACCAATTGCTCACTTGCCTGTATCCCAAGTCACATGATCAAATCATAAAAAATCTTAAGGTCGATAGCATGTTGAAGTTGACACCAGTGTGTCCAACAGAAGGCCACCAAGCGTAGGTTAATAAAAAGGCTATCCCCTGCAACCTTGTTTTTATTTGTTTATTTACTTTGAACAGATCCCTAGCATTGTTTACTTCTACCACAGGATTGTTCATGGGAAACAACTGTTACAAAATAAAATAAATAAATCGAGTTGTCTCTTTAGGGCCTCACACGTGGAGAATCAACCAATTGAGCCACCAAAGAACAGCAACCCATCAGTGAGCCTGTGGGTTGCAACCCATGGTATTTACTACTGCATAGAGACAGTAAGACACCTCGAAAAGCTGTATTTCTTGCATCACCTCACCACCTAAACCTTATTTAATAACTACAAGGCCTAGCTGCCATAAATTCTTGACTCCTTCAACTTCATAATAGTATTTAATATCCTGGGCCACAACCCTAAAATATCAAGAGAAAGATTGAAGAATCCTGCTGCTCCTATCCCCCAGGGCCCCATTCCCCAGGGCCTTATCCCTATACCAAGTGTAGGTTCCCCCTACATTGGACCAAAACACATTGAAAGCTCAAGATGCAAACAACGCAAATAAAAGGGAAACAAAATAAAGGACTTCGAAGACATGTTACAATCAATCGAGACAGATAAAAGTCATATTGTTGTGGATATTTTGGAAGCAGAACACATGACTCATGTCATGGTGGTTAAAATATTAGGTGTAGAACAAGAAAAAAAATAATGATAATAATTGGAATGTTAAGCAAGTTAAATAAAGGAAGAGAAGACGTACAGGTAAGGGAGGCCTAAAGGAAATGAGGTCACTTTGTAGAACACCAATGCTAGCTGACAAAATCACATAATTGGCTTCGTAGACACAACCATCCTCCGTTTTCACAACAACGCCGTTTCTCGAGTGCTGTAACTCCCTGACAACCTGCCACAAAATCATCACCACATAATAAAACTAAGTGGCAAATAAGATAGTAAAAATCAACAGTGCTAGATAGCAGAGTCCAAGGCATTTAATTAAACAATTACCCCTACTGAAATGAGATTCTGTGAAGTCAAACCAAGAAAATATGTGCAATACAGTACAGAGAGATGGAAATGGAACAGATTCGAAGAAGAATCTAGTTGATGTACAAAGACCCAGTTGGCCATTTTTATTTTAATTAAAAAATAAAAAAAGACAAGACTTGTGTATAGTGTTCGATCCGTCAACCTAAGGTTTCATTAGGTGGTTCTGATCACTTCTGACTTTCTAGTGCAACTGAAGTACCTTTTTTTTTTTTTTCCTTCGAGTACAGGAAACATAAATGAAGAAATGGACAGGGCTAGCTAATTTGATGTTCTTATTTTGAGTTGATATGACATCTCAACTTCCTGACCGTATGGTGGTGTAATTCATGTCAGTGTTAGTGCAAATTGCGGGTTCAGGGACCTACAGATTCAAGAGTGGTAAAAGACACTTTACTGATTGAAGGATGATGAGCAACGTTTTGCCAATCAATGGCTATATGATTGAAAAATCGAACATGTTGATAGGTCAATTGGCAATGGCTCTATGTACGGGTCCTCCACTCAAAAAAAGTTCACTGAAAGTTTGGTTTGTTTTCATCATCAGAACCTAGCAAAGGGTCAATGACCAAAATTTGAAGGTCTGAAACTCTGTATGGCTAGTGACTCGGTTTCAACTTTTCAACACACTAAAATAATAACAATGGATGTCATTGAACGACTGCCACAAGAGAATAATCTATGTTAAGATGGAGAATTTCGATGAGAAGTCCAGCGAAAAAAATATTCCATTCATGCTTCCAATTTTAATCTAACGCCCCCAAGGCATGTTTCATACAACTTTACTGACAACATCAGTAATGGAAAAACGTCATTGCTTTCTAGTGTAAATTATTTACCGTATCTCATTTATCATGCTAGCATACATTTTCTTTCTCAGCTTGATAATGACAAATAGATTGTGTCATCTCTAAATCACATCAACGTGGAAAAATCTCTTTAAAAATGCAATAGATAAATATTTAAGACTTTGCCATTGTAGAGCGATTGAGTAAATTATAAAGTACTCTCTCTAGTTTCTCAAAAGGAATTAAATATTCTCTCTAGTTTCAATAAGTAATTAATTTATCCCTATATTTTTAAGTTTATTTGTAATTTAATCATTTTCATTCAATTTTATTTTTTTATTTTAATAAATGAAAAAATAAAAATATAGAAAGAATGTTGAGAAAAGAAGAATTTTTTTAACAAAATAATACGAAATTAAGCATGATCAAGAGATTAATTGATTTAGTTTTAAAATAAGTAGAATTATTTAATTCATTTTGCAAAGTGACTAATTTATAGTCTATTCTTGAAATATTGAGAAAATAATAGTAAAAAGAAAAAGAAAAAGTTAATGAATGCAGGGTCCATATGTTATTTCTTTCTATTCTTTTTCATCTTAAGTTTGTCTATTTACATTTGATTTTAATTTTAATCTCGTACTTTCATTAAATTTTTTTAGCTAACAATGTTAAATCATACCATTAGCCTCACAAAATTTCAACTCATGTCAGTTCTTTTTTCATCTTAATCTCCGTCTCTATATTCTTTTTTTTTTCAATTTAAATAAATAAATTTTAACAATTAAAATCTGGTCATTTTCTCTAAAAACTAAAAAGAAAAAAAAAGTGAAGATAAAAATATTTTTTATCAAAAATATTTTTTATAAGTTTTGAATTTATCTCTATGGTAGTAAGCAAATTTTTGGTATAAAATGAAATTCATGTAGTATTTTTTAAAAAACAAAATATGAAAGTAGCTTTAGTTAAATATTTAAATTTTTAAAAAATATTTATAATTTTATAATACCTCAAAAAGAGTTTATTATAGTTTATTTATTTTAATTTTACAATTTTTTTAACTTCATTAAAAAAGAAATATAAATTTTGTTAGGATTTTTTAGAATATAAATTTTGTTCCAAATTTTGGGGGTTTTTTTTTTCATCTCAGAAGGAACATTAGTGAAAACGACAAAAAAAAAATTATATTTTCATTTTTTTGTCAAATAAACAAAATTTTGTGACAAATATAATAAATTTTGGATTAAAAATATTTTTATTTCATCTTTTTTTTTCAATTTAAAAAAAAATGACCGAATATATGTTCTTCTTTTTTTGTTCAGTTTTTTTAATTAATTTATTTAAATTCAATAAATAAAAATTAGACGAATGATATTAAGAAGGAAAAAAATGAATTGACACGTGTAGCAATCATGTTAGACTAACAATACGATTTCATACGTCAGTCCAAAAAAGTTAATGGAGAGATGAATTAAGACACAAATTCAATGTTGAGGGAGGAATTTAAGATAAAAAAAAAAAAAGTAGAAATTACGATAAAAATGAAAGATAAGAGTAAAGAGAATTTTACACCCATTCACTGTATATATATATATATATATATATATATATATAAGTTGACTCTTTAAAAAAGAAAAAAAAAGAAAGAAACGAAAAATGGTTGGATTTTTGGCAAAATGGTAGTTGAATAGAATATTAAGGAAAGGCATAAAGCTTTTTCATAAAACGTCATTATCTGCAAACTCCAAAAGTGGGTCAATCAATCTCAACAGAAACAAGATAGCTTTGCAGCTGCATGCATTACCAAACAGAACACAGCTCACAATTTTCTTCATACGCTCTTCTCTGTTCCTTCTTTTTTTGTGTTTTCGATCGCTCTGTTAACTTTTAACATTTTCCCTTTGTTTTAGCATTTGTTTAAAAGCGATAAAACAAATCTAAAACAGAACATATCATAAAGCAACAAGAAATAAGTCATAGGAAAAGAAATCAAAAGGTGTCATCTGTCACTTCTAATTTCTTTCTTTTATTGTTTGTTTTTACTTGTAATAATTACCTTGTTGAGTTTGAGACGGTTGTCCAAGATTTTGCCCTCAGAGGTAAAAAGAAAATTCTCAGCCATTTTGTATAGCAAATGCTCATAACCTCTTTCGTCTGCTACTAGAAACTCTCTTTCTCCAAAATCTACATATGTTGATATTGGCTCTACCTCTGTTTTCACAAATATAACCCATTAATTTCTCTGCTTCACAGTTTTTAATCAATTATTACAATAAAAGAAAATAAACCCATATGTGTTTATTAAAATATACATTTTATGAGCTAAACCAGCAAAAAAGGGGCATAAACAGGGTAAAAATAAATAAAATATTTCCTTGGGAAACAGCAGAAAAAAGAGTGTAAAATCAGTTGGAAATCCAACCTGCCATCTCAAAGTCATGAAGGATGAAGTCAATGGCAAGCTCTATTGGCGTTTTTGGTGAACTAAACAAGCACAAAACACCAAAAATTAAGATTAAAATTCATGAAGACCATTAAGAATGATATCTTAATTGATATTTTAGCAGTGAAAGCCAAAGATCACTTTAAAGACTTGAAATTTACCAAGGCGGTTCAATAACTTCACCATCAATGTTTGCTTCTAAACTCTTCAGGTTCTCAATTGCTGAGTCCACCGCCTTCTTGTACGAGTCTGCTGCCACGCCACTTGGAAATATTTTCCCACTATGCCACCACCAACAACAAAAAGTTCACTTCCTTTGGCATCCGGAAAAAGTAAAAAGAAAATTTCCGTCGTTTCGGTGTCCAAATGTTGTGTCATTTTTCATTGATTTTCTCAAAAAAAAAACATTTGAAGAAAAATAGAAACCTCAAATTATAGCCGGACACGAATACGGCATACAGATACCTGCGATCGTAGATATTATAGCGAGCATTGCTATAATCAGAGAAACAAGTTCGGAGTCCAGATTGAGAAGCAAGTTCCCAAACAGGGTTGGGCACTTTACCACCAACTCCGGCGATCCAACCGGCTCCAAGCTCAACCGAAACGCCACCGAAATTTTCCTTTCGGATCCTACCACCGATACAGTCTGAAGCTTCTAAAATTACCATGTCCTCTATTCCATTCTCCGCCAATACCTTTCCCGCAGATATACCTTAACACAAGAAACAGAACAAAATTGCTTAATTTCAGCCTCAAATTATAAGTTTCTGTGTGTGTATGTATAGGCTGTGAATTACCGGAGACGCCAGCGCCGATGATGATGACGGAGGAGCGAGAGGAGGAATCCATGAGATAAAGCGATGGAGGGAGGGATGGAGGGAGAGAGAGAGAGAGGAGTGTGTTTGTGTTTTGTTGGTGAGACATGAAGAATTAGCGGGAGCCAGTTTATATAGGTGTTTTTTCTGCTAACTTTTATTTATTTATTTTTAACGGTGGCGGACGTGTCTCTCTCTCTCTCTCTCTCTCATCTCTCATCAAGTTTGACGGGGGTTGACTGACGCGGAAACAGAACGAATGGGATCATTTTGATAGAGGTAGGTAGTATTGGTGAGTAAATTATAAATTGGTCTCCTTACTTTGCAAAACGAATTAAATAATTTATTTTATTTCAAAAATAATTAATTAGTTTTTTGCCAGTGTTGAATACAGTTAATTTAATATATTTTTTTCAAAAATATATTTTTTATTAATATTTTCATATTTATTTTTTTATTTTTTAAATAAAAAAATGAATACAGTTAATTTAATATTTTTTATTTCAAAAATATATTTTTTATTAATATTTTCATATTTAATTTTTTTATTTTTTAAATAAAAAATGAATACAGTTAATTTAATATTTTTTATTTCAAAAATATATTTTTTATTAATATTTTCATATTTAATTTTTTTATTTTTTAAAACAAAAAAATGAATTTAATTATAAATGGATTAAAAATATAAGGACTGACTAATTAATTATAGAAACTAGAGGAACTATTTAATTCTTTTTAAAAAATTAAACGGACTAATTTATAATTTACTCTAGTATTGATATTTGATCAAAACTTAGAATGCAAGACTAGTATGTTGCGATTTTTTTTTTTTTTTTTTGACAGGGAGATTTTTAAAAAAAAGGTAAAGTGACATTCTTGTATTAGTTTCTGTTTTTCTAGCATACAGTTATTAGCTCTAGAAATTAATTTTGGTTTTGTCTCATTTTTAGAAATATTCTGAAGATTTGTACCATTCTTTCTCGTATAAGGAACCAATTGTGGATATTCTAGACTTGTGTAATAGTTTCTCTCAGCCTCAAAGTAACTGATGAATTATTCAAAAAAAAAAAAAAAAGACTAATGAATTATTATTTTTTCTAATATTATTAAGATTAGAGGACAAGAAGAACACACGCTTTTCTATACATTTACTGGTATCTACTACTGGATTTTTTAAGGCCGTCATAACTAGTTATATATTGTTTAACTCGTATTTGTAGTGGGTTGAGCATATGTTTCGTGAGCATTATGTTAAATTTTTATTTATTTATTTATTTATTTAAATTCTTTTAGGTATTTTTATTTTATATTGGACATAAGAGTAATCTTGTTTGAAATAAAAATAATAATGTTTAATCCTTTCAAACAAATATAATTTTAAAATTCAAACTATGTATGTTAACCAAAAAAAATTGATTTGAAAATCAAATCACTTACAAATGGGCCAATAAATTATTAATTATGTTAAATTTATGTTATAAGTTTTCAATTATAAATTTCAAGGTAGTCATTTCTCAATTGTTAAATTTCCATCTCTTTTGAAGTTTGGTCTATAAATTATGTTAGAAACCTTAAATCTCATTAAGGGTCGAGATTAGAAAAATTAATGTGATTTGATTATTATCTGAATGAAATAGTACTATTGTTTTATTATCTGTTGATCCAAGCTTGCTAGATCTTCGTAATTAAATTAAAAAAAGTATAAAAAATTCCTATTTTGCTGATGTGGCAATTGTTGAAGATTTTGAAGCCTTGTTTTCAATACATCTAATAATACATACAATCAACTCTCGATTTAGCTTAATTATGTTGCGTTATAGCCTTACTTTTTTATCTCTCGCGCGTTTCCTTCCATTTCATTTGGATTTTTCTTTTTTTTTCCCTTTTTTCTTTCCCTCCCTCACCATGTCCGTCATGATCAAAACACAAACGAGAGTTTTTTTTTATTAAAAACTTTATCAAACTAAACTATATATATATATATATATATAACCCTCTATTATAAAGAACATGGAGAGAGAGAGAGAACAGGAAATGTCAAACCCAAGAAAGAGACTAAAAAAACGGTAAATATAATGAAACGTGAGATAAAAATGAAGAAGAAGCAAGTTTAGCATTAAATTAAATAAAAAGTTGATTGTATATTTTAGATAGTTGAAAACAAGTATCTAAAGTACTAAATAATTGCCATGCTAAGTAGAAAATTTCCTATTCAATTAGTAAGTCAATTGAAATCAATTCAATTTACTTCAATAGTTGACAATTTTAAAACCATTTCCTAACAAAAGAATTCAATTGGCAAATCAATTCAATTTGCTTCAATAGTTGAAATAAATTATAGTATAGAATTGGTTCCAAACAAGCTGTTAAATCTAAATTTGTATCAATGTGGTTCATTCACACGACTATTAGGATAATATCTATCAAATTCTAAAGATCAATCAATCTAGCAATTTCTAATATCAATTACTTTTATGATAGATTTTGAGCTTCGACTAATTATTATGTTATGTTTAAAGCTTTGTTTTTTTTTTCCTATCAAACAAAAATATCATTTTTCAAAATATTAATATTATATATTTTTTTATTGAATGGTAATTGATATCCTCGAATTAGTTTGTGTGCCGACAAAAGTTGTTTTTGTTTTTTATCTTCAAGCAATTTGAAGACTTATCCCCTACATCCGTAAAGAGGAAAAGTTGGTTAGTCCGTTAGTTGACTTGGTTAGTTTGTTAGTTTAACAAACCATTAACTAACCGTTAGTTATGTTAATTAGGTGATTTAATTAGTCGGTTTAGTTAGTTAAAATGTTAAGTATAAAGGGATGTACGCATGCTATATTCAAGACTAATTAACGAAAAGAGCAATTTTCCACATAGTCCTTCTCTTCTCGGTTTTCTCCATTTTCTCTATAAATCTTCATCTCTCTCTTCTTTATTCTTCTAAAACGGTATCGAGCCCTCGATATTTTAGGGTTTTATGAACTATTGAAGTTCAATTCTTTTTAATTGAATCGATTTGATTCATTAATCGATTGATTTTGTCAATCAATTGATTCTCCTCTCTTCTTTATTGAATTTCAACATTGTCGTCAATGGCGACGAAGAACGATTGAGTCTATAATTTCTCCAATGAAAGATCACGCTTCGTCGTTTTTCTTGCATCATTCGATCATCATGGATCCGTTATAATTTCACCTAAACGCATATCTAGCAATTATGCAACCCGAAGTAGATCATTTCTATTCGCTCTCTATATCGAAATAAAAGCTGGATTTATAGATGGTTCGATTAAGCAACTAGAAGTCACCGATTTTATGTACAATGTTTGGGTGAGATGCAATAATCTCATAGTTGTTTGGCTATTAAGATCAACTTCAACACCCATTGTATCTACAATCTTCTATATTGATTAAGCGAGTTAAGATATAGATAACTTTGAAGAAAAGGCTTTCGCAACTCTGATGATCTAAGAATTCACAATTTACAAATGTCTCTATGCAACATTTCTCAAGAAAACATGTTTGTAGATGAATACTTTACATAGTCGAATAGTGTTTGGGAGGAATTAAGAAACTATAGACCATTATCCCATTGGCTTTATAGAGGATGTAGAGATTAGTGTTTTCGAAATATATTGATATACAACGAAAAGATCATGTATTCAAGTTCATAAATGGATTGAATGAATCTTATTCTTCACTCAAATCTCAAATCCTGGTTATAAAACCTTTTATCGATTCTGGATGAAGTGTATAGCCTAGTTTTAAGAGAGGAGAATCAAAGGTCTATGCACACTCGTATATCAACCTATCATATAAAATATGGCTATGGCAATTGTGATTAATACAAAGAAGAAATCAAAAACCGACATGGTAAGTGAGTATTGTGGAAAAATTAGGCATACTAAGGATAGATGCTATAAGTTGATTGGTTTTCCAATAAATTTTAAGTTTAGCGAAAACAAATTCATAAACTTCACTAATTCTACACCTCGGCATATAGTTAATAATGTCACTAGAATAATGGAGTCGGAGAAAGGCATTGGTGATTAACGATTTCCTTTACTCGGAGATCAATATCGAAACTCATGGTCTTTCCGAATGAGCAAAAATTAACAATTTTAACTCAAAATTCCTCGACCTCAACTTCCATACATATCAATCCTCATTCGGTTTCCATGTTGTAGGTGATACTCCAACCCTAATATGTTCATCGGATACACATACTTTTCTTATCAAGATTTTTTCCTCAAAAACTTATGTATATAAAAATATCCGGATCGTAGACACCGGTGCCACATATCACATTGCTTCTTTATTGGATTTGTTTGACTCTTACTATAGTGTTAATAACATCTTTGTATAATTACCAAATGGAAACAGAGTTGCTTTACACATATTAGTAATATCACGGTGTTTCCAAAATTGATTTTACCAAATGTCTTGTTTGTTCCCGATTTTTAATATCTATCAATAAGCAAACTCACTATATATAAACACCATGGACTAATCTTTGTTAGAAATACTTGTCTTATCTAGGACCTTCATTCCTAGACAATGATTGTACTCGTTAAGCTCAATTCAAGTTTGTTTTTACTACAATCTAAAGTACATGATCAATCTTCAATTTTCATTATTTGTTCATCCACAACATAATTCTCCACCAATAATCTTGTTGACAAATCCTTTGATTTTGGCATTTTAGGTTAGGGCATACTTCAGCTGATAAAGTTTAAACTTTACAATAGTGTCATTCTCAAATAAATTGTAGCTCATCTTTTTCTTGTACCGTTTATCCCTAAGCTAAACATAAAAGATTACCATTTCTAATATATGTTAGAAACACTATCAAGCCTTTTGAATTTGTTCATATAGATATTTGGGGTCTATATTCGGTTCTCGATATAGGTGAGTTTTGTTATTTTCTTACAATTATAAATGATTTCACAAGAAATAATTAGGTATTTCTAATGAGAACTAAATTTGATGTTTCTCATTTTGTACTTGATTTTTACAATCTAATAAAAGTCTAG